TCAATACAATTCAATATGTAGTTTTTCCTCCTTCAAAATAAAAAAAAACAAAGCTGCTAGTTAGGGTGTGTGGGGATGAAAGAGAGGCACCCACATCCTCAAGATCGTGTTTCATACCTGTATGGTTGTATAGAATAGAAAAATCCATGATTTGAACGTTCTAAATAATAATGTTGATGTGTAAAAAACCATTTTCGTTTAGTCCAAAATAATGTAGCAAATCGATTCATTAAATCTTGACATGTTTTACTATTGATGACAGCACCAAATAAAGATGTTTTATGCTGAATATCAAAAATTCGTAAATAAGGCATATGAGTTATAATCAAATTTTCCCATCTTTGAGCATTCATATATTCATTATCCATACTTGTTGAAATAGATAAAACTTGAAGATTTCTAAAAAGATTTATCATAAAAGGTTGAAATTGATCGAAGTTAATATGGTTTAATTTAATAGAAACATGTGTAAGATTATTTAAAGTAATTGAGAATGTATGTGGCATTCGATCATATAATAAAGTCAGACATTTGATTGATAAACGACGAAGATGAGGAACATATGATAAAATATGAAATAGTTCATTAAAATGTATATTATAATCAATAATAAGATGTTCAATAGGACTAAAATTATTATAAGCAATATGTAATAGTCCATCTGTCATAGCACTACCATCACCAAGTGATAATTTACAATATTTTAGAGCTGGTAAACGAAATAGTTTATCATACATTATAATTCTATTACAATCATTTTTGAATGAGTCAATAATTAACGTCGAAAGTTGTGATAATAACACCAAATAATCGAGAGCATCGTTGCAATCATCTGAATCAATATTTTTCAAACAAAGTATTTTAAGTTGAGTAAATAATATATCATTTTTAATAGATGAAAATATTAAATTGATAATAAATGGATTTGAAATATAAAGTGAATGAATTCGATGAGTATTAGATTTAAAAAATTGTTCATAATGTTGTTCAAATGATATTTTTGATATATTTATAATATTGACACTAATTGAAAGATCTGATAAAGTAAGAAGATTTCGAAATCGTATATTTAAATTATTAAAAATTTCATAAGCTTGATAAGTATCAAGAAAATCAAAAATTTCATAGATTATTTCATTGGAAAGTTCTTCAAAATTAGTACAACCATTTCGATTCATTTTCAATACTAAAAAAAAAGAAATTTGTATGAGTCATATCAAAAGCTATGTACATTACATGAAATTATATTGAATGATGAAGTAATAAATGATTGTCGTCATTTTTATACAATTATTTTCAACTGAGTAATTGGATTTTTCCCAATTGACGTAGGTAAAAAAGTGGCTCTTACGATGTATGTGTTGTCATGTGATGATGAAATATATTATTTTTCTTTTTCGTTCCTTTTTTTAAGGAGTTTTTTCTTGAAACATAATCCAACAAGATTATTTTATTAGTAACAATGCGAATTTCTATGTGATTCAATTTTTTTCAAATTCTTTGTTGAATAGAGTGTGCGTGTCAACTTTAGCGAATACTCACATCTTTCATTCATAAACTTCTTTATTTCTTAGAAAGAGTTATAATGGTGATTAAAGCGATGTTCAATATATAACAAAAATCGATAAGGGTGTGGGTGTAGGTGTAGGTAGTTCTCTTCTCGTCACCTGCACGCACACCCACATTTTTCTCGAAGATGAGTTTTATTGGGATAAGTTCAAATAAACGCAAGACTCTCACATTACATCCTACTTATAATTCAATGTAATTATGTTCGAAGAAACTCCTTTTTCTGTCATAATTTAGTCTCATGTTGTTTCGTAGCCAATACTACATTTGTACGATTGTTATTTTGATTATTTGTCTTTATACGAAACAATTTTCGACCAATTTTAGTATTGATAAACTCTGTTTTATATGAACTCGAAGGTAATACATAGATCATGAAACCAAATATTTGTGGAGTAAATGAGAAAAGATAGGAGACAAGTAAAGCATAACGTTGCCAAGCATTATTAAGTTCAGTGCAAGCAAAACTTGATGTAATAATGATTTGTGGTAGTGCTGCAAGAATAATAATTGTTGGTGTCACATAAAGTTCTTTTTGCGTTTTGAATTGTTTTTTTAAAATTTGAGTGAAAGTAGTTGCTTGATTATTTCCAGTTCTAGCACGACTTTTAGCAGCCGATATAATAAGTAATGTAATTGCAGTAACTTGAATAGCAAATGGTGCTAAATGATGAATAAGTACATTAATATGATTGTAGATTGACCAGTTTCGATGATTAAAGTTTGTGACACAGATAAGTGCGCGAGAACTGATCTGTTGCGGATCGGCTATACTGATAGTGTAATACAAAAATTCATGGACATGCATTCCACTGAGGATGAAAATAGTTATAAAACTCGAAATATGTGCTATATGTGGTTTTTTTATTGATATTTTGGTTGGAAATAGTACCATAGAGAGTCGAACGATAGCAACGAGACTAGTTAACCAGTAGTTAACACGAACTGATATTGAGAGAAATGATGATAAAAATTTACATATGATTAAATTGATTGTATTATTCGTAAGCCAACCGGCGGTTCCAAGAAGAGTATGGATTATTTTAGCAAAGAGAAGTGTTAGTGAAATAATATTTAGAACTGAGACGAGCAGTAAATAATAGCCTACATTAATTTGACGTGGAGTCTTCCGAAAAAATACAAGTAAACTGCAGATATTACTAAAGATGCCCATTAGAAAAACCAAGAAAGTAATCAAAATATAGATCACCATCGAAAGTTTTTGTTGAGCTTGTATATCTTTAATAATGAGTGAATCAAGTGTGAAACTCATTAATTGAATTGAATATTGACATATACTACCATATGTACATCTCGGACAGAGACAAAGAAAGTCATGTTCTTGTTGAAGGCTTCCACGAATGCATTGACCTCCTGAAAGACAATGTTGACATTTGTCGCTATAAGGGTCAAAACGAAGACATTGGCTGTGGTGTATCGTCGTGTTACATAAACAAAAATAATTTTCATCTCGAAAGCAGACTTCGGATGAACGATTCTGTGAATGACGTTGGCATGGTTCATGATATTTAAAAACTAATATGTTTGCATCTGTACCTATTGATTAGAAAGAATTGAATGAGACTGTAGCTGTATGTATATGTACCTACTTTGAATGATTTTAGGATCAAAAAGTGTATGACTATGAACACATTCATTTTCATTCGTTAGATGTACCGTCATATTAATAGACGCACTTACATCGTGCTGACTGTAAACAAGATGGAATAGTGGACCTTGTAGTTCGCAATGTTTATTGTATGATTTGATAAGAATAACTGAGGGAGCATTGTCTTGCTCATAACCCATCTGAGTTTCAGAAGGTCGACCACGGAAAATCTGTTGTTTACGTAGATATAAATCAGTTAGATCACTTGAGACATCATAGTATTGTATGCTAGTTGCTAGAATATTTGTAGAATAAGAAGAAGATGACGACTTGTCAATTCGCAGAAGAACAGCACGCTTCGGAAACTGACAATATTCTCCATAAAAATCATTGGTACATATACATTCGAATGGTTGTGTATGCGATCGATCGTAAGTAAAATAACATATGCCACCATTCTGACATTGTTTGCATTCAGGATAAGTTAAATGACATGTAGGACCAAACCATCGATGAGGACAAAGACAGGCTGGTCGTCGATCACCATTGATAAAGCCACGCTCTTGAGGTCGACAGAGTGCTTGAGGATGGCAAAACTTCTTACATTGTTCATCATGTAGTTCACATCGATCTCCATACCATCCACTTTGACAGGTACAAATCATATTTTTTATTTCATTTTCTAGACGAATACATTTTCCATACGGACCACAAATTAAATCACAAGAATAATTTTGATTTTTCGTATTAAAATGAAGAACTTTACCAAATCGAAAAGCTGGTAAAAAATCGAAGTCTATTGAAAATTGCCACATTGCTAACAGAACGGGATGGTGTACTGATTGAAGATAAAACGCTTCGAATCGAATACTATACAACTGGGTACCATGACGTTGTAAACGCTTCTGCTTCTGAAATTCTGCGGTACGTGGATAACTAAAATAGAATTTTTGTTTAGTTGTTCTGGTATTTGATTGAACATAGAATTCATGTCGATCAACTATACGTTCTGCATAACGAAATGTACAAGAAACTAAAACTGTAGAATTTTGAGTATTGACGATTGTATAATTTCCATTATACTTCGTTAAATTGAGATGTGTGACGATAGATATACGATCAGCATGAAATTCACAATAATCACCATAATAACTTGGCGAACAAAGACATCGTGTTTGTCCGTGGTTATCTTTGATTGGAATACCACGATTACAAATGAAAGGTAATTCCGCGAATAACATTTGCTCCGGATTTTCACGATATAACTTTAATAGTTCATCTATTATTAGATCGCCTAACATGCTAGTATTATTGCTTTGCATCTGTTTTTGAGCATGAAGTCTTGTAAATATCTGTTGAATATTATCAGTAAATGATAATTTTGGCAGTTGTTTATAACTATTACCAATAGATGAACCTGTGTATCTAGTTAATGTCATTTTTGATTGTCGTTCTATTCGACGACTGCTTCGATAAGCCATTGGGGACAGCAGTATTAAAAAATGAATAAATATAAGAGTATATGACTGCTATGAAATACATCAAAAATTTTATCTAATTATATAGGCTTAGTATTTATTCGAACTTTCGGTGTAACGAAGGGTGTGGGTGTGGGTGTGGGTGGGTGTGGGTGGGTGTGGGTGTGGGTGTGGGTGTGGGTGTGGGTGGGTGTGGGTGTGGGTGTGGGTGGGTGTGGGTGTGGGTGTGGGTGGGTGTGAGAAGTAAAAAGTGACACACCCACACCCACACCCTCAAGAATGGTGCTTCGATAAGTTGTCGCTGTCATTCTTATTGGATTTACACCAAAATAACACCAGTATTCATCCTCTCCATTCAAACATTCCCATTGTTTATTACAGCGCGCATTACGCTGGCATGTACCATTTAGACACATAGCATCTTTGAGTCCATTGCAACTCAGCTCATCCTTATAAAAACACGCTATACGTTTATCATAATCTGAACAGGTAAAATGTACAGAACAAAGCACAAACGAGTGTACACATGCATTCTTTGTATCCGTGCAACCGTATCGTCAACCAAGAACATCTGAATCACACCTGAATAGATTACGTTCATCAATTTTGCCAAGACAATCTATGCGTCCATCTCCAATTCTTTCAAGTTCTATACATGGTGGATTTAATGTGAAATTAAGTGGATTATCAACATTGGCAAGAAGACAAGGATATTCAATTGTAATATTACATAGATTAGCAAATGGTTGCTCTTTATATCGATCGTAGCAACTCGTCCATATTTTAGTGAAATCTAACACTAGCTGATTATGTTTGTCAGTAAAATTACCTACTTGAAGCAATAATCGTTGTTCATCAGATGCATCACTACAATCCCATTCACCTAAACATATTCAATTCAACACGATGATCACAATATAAAAACAACTATCTTACCATCACACAGCCAAACAAAAGGAATACACTGTCCTGTAAGACAACGATATTCATTATCGGCACATATCCATTTATGTAAACAATGTTCGACGTTCTCATCAGTACTTATTGCTGTATCAGAGAATGTATCACAGTATTGTGCGAATGGAAGTACTTTAGAAGAGGAGACTGGGGTTATAATTGCCATATTGTTTTTATTAATAGACGGTTGAATAATGTGACTACGAATTATATGACATTCAGTTGCATCCTTACTATTGCATTACAAAGTTTTCAAAGCAATATTAGTTTCACCTAAATATATATCTTCACCATGTTTACACACGAACGATTCTGTACCAATACGAACTGCCGGTAAACAAATCGCTTCCTGTTCACGTGTAAGACAATTTAGACAATGATTACTATAATGTTGAATAGGCGAAATTATGGTTGTCTCATCGAAATAGTTAACATCCCCCTTGCAGTTCCCAATACCATCATGAATACGATGTGGTGATAAACAGAATTCGTTACATGAAGTAGCCACTTCTTCAACAGTGGAAAGATTAAAGTATTAAAGCCATTTATGCCAACATGCAGTATCAAAATGAGGAGCGAGAATTGAATAATTGCGTATAAAAGATGACTCTGAATTAGGGCTTGCTGCATATAGACATATACGTCGATCAACTTTTGTATTAAGAGATAAGAAAAAAATTTTAGACTCGGGAATCAAGAAACCATTCCCAGTTATAGTTAACTGAAAACCAGCGCATCGCATTTGACCTTTTGTAATAGCATAATTAGGTAACACAGTAGGTGTTAATTGATAGTCTGAGTCGTAATAAGTGTTCATCAGAGGACCGAGCAACGGTCCTCGTGGATACCTGATCCAACCAAGATTTGATCGGCAATCGCCTTTTAATAATAAGGATATAATATCATCCGTTGGGCAATTGGTAGATAGACGAAATGAGAGTCGGCATTTTAGAACAAACTGACACAAACTGTCTAGAGTACCGTTGACTTGATTACTCCATGAAGCAGACAACCACACACAAAAGCCGTCTTTTAGTGTCCACAATCGCGCAGGTCGATGAATTTCACAGAAAAATGCCAAATCACGTAATGTACTGCACGAGAATGTTAAATTATTCCCGTTGAATAGATCGGCTACAGATCTAACAAAAGCATATGGTGTGGTGCACTGGCCATCTCCACAAGAAAAGGATTTAGATTCTGAACATATATGTTCGTCGCATTCCATACCCTTCTCTCGGGGACAAGACTCTTCAAAATCGGATCGAGTAAGCTCATCAGATGTGTCTTGACAATCAAATTCACCTAGAAAAGACGAAAGTTGTTCATATATTAAATAGAAAACTATATCTTTGAGGTGAAACAGATTAATTCAGTGAATAAAATATCCATCAGTACATTTTAAGAGCTGGTAAATATGTGATAGTACAATGAGTGAAATACTTCACTCGGATAAAATATATACAACTAACCATCTAGCCAATACCCTTCAGGAATGCACAAACCATTTTGACACCGAAATTCATTTTCGAGACATTCATTCATTTCTACCTTATCACAATTTTCTTCGTCTACACCATTCATACAGTTTTGCGCACCTTTAACATGAAAAATAGAGTTCAATAGAAATATTTTAATCAATTACCATCACAAATATTTCTCCAATCCAAACATAAAAGTCCATATTCACAATCAATAGAAGTATAGCACATCCGTCGACGTTGAAGTTGACCGGCCAGTGCATGGTTTTTATCCTGTATTTTGATTGCACGAGCTGTTTCAACAAGTGTATAACCGACATAAAGCTCATATTCACAGTAACGACCAAAAACACCTTTCATAGAAGAACAACTAGAATATGGATGTTAAATGACATGTTACGTTCAAAAACTTCAACATGTAATTGACTCACTTGCATACATAATCGTTATCATCGATCAAAGCAGATGAATCATTTTCTTTACGACGAAAATAATAGGTTCCATATCGATCTGCCTGTTCAATTGCTGAATGAAAAGTCGAAAGTACAGGGGTGTCCCGAAGTCCAAAACATTGGGGGGGGGGGCCGTCAATGAATTTCGCGAGATTTTTTGAAAAGTTTCAAAAACATTCCAAGTATTTTTGTAATTTTTCAGAAATTTTGGAAGATTTTCAAGATTTTTTAAAAAAATGTCTTCAATTTACCCACAATTTTCAAAGAATTTTCAACATCTTCGGAGTTTTTTTTAGATTTTCAAGATGTTCGAAAAGTTTTCAAGGATTTTTTAAAGTAAAAAAAAAGAATTTTGAAAATTTTTCGAGATTTAAAAAAAATCGCGATGTTTCTTACTAATTTTCTCATAAATTTCAAGATTATTTCTAAAACTTTCCGAAAATGTTCATAAACTGATGAGCCAAAAAACAAAATTTTCTAAGATTGGGGGGCCGTCGCGGCCCCAAAGGCCCCCCGTCGGGACACCCCTGCGCCGAAAGTACAGTACTTGGATTGATATCATCTTTGAAAAGTGAAGAAAACGAATATGCAACGCCACCATTTTCACATTGTATTTGATCATTTGCATTTATTTGTTTTGTATAATTAGTGATATTCTTCGGCTGAATGCAATATTTGATATTACGTGTATTCGTAAATTCATTTGTATAATCCAAACAATCAAAATACTGTGCATTTGGCAATATATCTGTATCATGTATTAATTCTATACCATGAATGGTGACTAGTGCCTTTATTAAAAGTTCGATAAACGTGAAAATAAACCATGTATTCATTCTAATAATTTTTATTCTGTCACCTTCATTGATAAATGCATCCTTTGTTAAATAATAAGTTATAGAGAGAAGTACGTGTCAGATATAGAATTTATTTAATCACTTCTTTGAACACATTCAATCAACAGTCAGTTGGCTTTATAAGTACGTGACATAAATATTCAATAACAATATTCTCTGGATTGTAAAGACAACTTCTAGAAACGGAAATTATCCTGTGCTTATTTCTATATTTGTTTCTAATGAGCATAGTTCAAAATGGTCACATCGTGTTTTCTGAATCAATAGTATTTATTAAATTGTTTCATGTATTTTGATAGACAAATTGGTGCTGCGCAAGCAGATCTTAAAAAAGCAACGGTGGGTGCGCCGAGCAGAGTCTTGAGGGTGTAGGTGAGGGTATGAATATGGGTGGGTGGATATTGAAGAAAACCGGCCTCTACATCTTGAAGGTGGGTGTGGCATTTATCATTCTCACCCACACCCACACCCACACCCTCAAGATATTGGAACTTATTCAAGAATTGATATATTTATAAAAGATCGATTCGAGGATATACACGTCTTCTTATTCTTTATATTAGAAATTTTAAATCAACAACAATGAGTCAAGTTAAAGAAATATTAGCTAAAATTGTTGATCTTTCATCATCATCATCATTTTTTATTTAGTCGGCCATTAGATGTTCTCATGAAACCTCTCATAACCATTGTGACTATTAATCATTGTAAAAGTGTCAACACAATCGAGTACAATTTGGTGAAAGTATCAGATTTTTAGCCTAAAACTTCAGTTGTTTACAAAATTTTGCAACGATTGTAATTCTACTATAAAGCATCGTAGGTATGAATCAAGTTAGAATATTACACGGGTGTGGGTGTAACTAGTAATTCACACACCACATCTATGCCGACACCCGCACCCTCAAGATTATTGAACAAGAACAAATTTATTTATTTATCTTTGTTATTTTTTATGCAGTATATCGATTGCTGAACAAGCAAAGGTTGAAATTAAAAAATTAATTTGTTTTCAATTGAATATGTTTTACTTTACTCGATAACTAAATCCACTTAGATCAATACAAATAGTTCGATATTAAAATTCATTTTATTTAAAATTGATTAAAGTAAAAATAAAGTTTTAAATAAATTCCAAATATCTTTGAAAAGTGAACAAAAATTAAAATCATGAAGTTTAGAATAAACAACATTTAAAGCAAAAGAAATTCTTTTAAATATTGACGACATAAAAGACAAAATAATATTTCTAGTTATTGATCACAATTTGAACTTAATAAAATTTGAATCCTATTTATTCTTGCATCAATAAAAACAAGATCATCTTTTCCATCTTGATTTAAATCAGCTGCTTTCAATGAATGACAACATTTATCACTATTATTTTCATTAATTCTGTAATATATATTAGTTCGACGAAATATTCCAAACTTTCTTCCAACAAATATATTTATAGTTCCATTACAAGTTAATACAGCTAAATCATCGATTGAATCATTATTAAAATTCAATCGAGCAACTGATGTCGGGCGAGTTTCTGTCAAATAAATTTGTTGAGTGTATTCGTTATAATCATAATCAAGTAGAACCTGTAATGTATCAGATTGAAAAGAAACACCTGCTAAATCATAATGTTCATCATCATTAAATCGTCCTTTAATGAATGCTGATGGAGATCTATACATATACTTTTCAACTCCATAGTCATAACAGTATTTCAATTGATTGGTATTATTTTGTTTTAAAAAAGGATGTATTCTACCGGCACCACCACATATAATCAAATCATTTGCTTCTCCATTGTTATTGACATCATCGATGATTATTGATGTAATATTTGCTTTATCCGGTAGATATATGCTACAATCAACTTCAGTATCAAATGATTTTTCATTGTTTGAATTAAGAAATATATCTAATTTTCCGCCGAATACATCATTATTTATATTATAAACTATTAATAAATCGATAAATTCATCATTATTCAAATCATTGACTTCAATCAATTCTGGACGATGATTATTTGAAAAACGGTACGCTGGTATTTCGAATAGATTATTCGATTCATTACCGAAGAAAATCATGATTTCCTTTGTTCCATATAATGTCACAACTGAAATAGAAAAGAAAAAGCTGAAATTATTCTATGACATTTTTTTTTATCCCTTATCAAGAAAATGATGGAAACATATTAAGTATTTCCGTACTGAATTGCTGTAAACTACTAGTTGAAACTAATACAGATTTATCTTTGAATGATATTCAATTATCAAACATTTACCTAAATCTAATAATCCATCATTATTTAAATCAGCACTTTTTAAATCACGTGGTTTTGATTTATTTCCTGTTGAATAGATTTTGGATGTTCGAAATGTGCCATTTCTATTTCCTAAAAAGACACTTATTGTATCAGAATCAGAATTCGTCACAAGTAAATCAATAATTGAATCTTGATTAAAATCACTCGTTATGAGTGACGTAGGATCAAGACCAGTTGAATAAAATTCAGATTGATATTTCCAAGTCAAATAACAAATATCTACAAAATAAATGAAATAACTATCGGATTACTGATCATTATATTTACAAATACCTGGTGATACCGATGTAAATTCTGTTATTACATTACTACTACTACTATTACTGATTAGAGTGGTCTGTGTACTTGTTACGATAAAGTTTTCTTCGATATCTCGATTGAGAAACAAAATAACGGTACTGGTAATTATAGTACATATGGCAAACAAAATTAAACTAATGATAAGTATTCGATCACAACGTCTGCTTCGTCTTAAAGAACAAATATTCAGAAAATTTGATCAATCTAATTACTTACGAGTTTATTTGTTCTTCAGTAGAATTCACATTGATCTAAATGATACAAAAGTCAAGAAAAAAACTATTTACACGATCGATTCAATACTACAGAATCGTCGAAAGTTCTATATGATAATAAATAGATTAACAATACCTGAACTGTTGTTGTTATTTGATCTGGAATGACAGCAATATCTGATTGATGCAAATCTATTCCAATTTGAGTTTTCTTTTTTCGATAATCAATTATTTTATAAATAATTAATCCAATCAAAAATACACCAATATGTAATCCTTTAGTTAAACCGCCAAACAATGCAAATAATGTTGTTGCAACATAAATTGAATTATATTGCATCTTATACGAATATTGACATGATTGAGGATTACATTCATTGAAATAACGATTAAATGATGGTTTAGGAAACCATTGAGAAATGAAAAGTTGACTAAGAAGTGTTTCAATTGTTGGATTTGGATTTGATAATAAAGAAGAGGTAAGAATATTATATGGAATTGGTTTCGAAGTATAAACTATTGCACGTAAAATATCCATACATGTTTGATTATAAAGACATGTTAAACTCGATTGAAGAAGAGAATCAAGTGGTAAACAACCAGAAAAAAATCTTGGTAAATTTTCTCTTAACGATTGATTTGATGTACGAAAAGAAAAATCAACGGATTCTGAACAAGTTGAATATCTTCCACATGAACAATTATCTTTTCCATATATTTCTGATCGTGCTATTACATTTAATACAGATCCTAGCTGTAAACTATAAAGCTCTGTATTACTTAAGTAGAATCTCCAGTTCGATGAAAATAACGAAGCTAATTGATTTGCGTGATTTATTGCTTGAATTAATTTGAACGTTTCTATAAATTGATCAGATGTTGTTGTTTTAAATTGTTCAATAATTAATTTTATTTTCCTATTGAATTCATCTTGTGGTATAACATGCACTGTAATAAAATCAGTTTCTTCAAATTTTGATACTGCTGTATTCAATGTATTTTGAGAAAGTTCACAAAATTTTAACAATGCGTCAAAATGATGACGAAGTCTTGCTTTAAAGTCATCAGCAGAATAATATAATACATATTCACTACCGATATTAGGCATACTTTCAATCCATTTAGGTGAAATAAATATACTTGAACAAATCTGGTGATATTCAGGTTTAATTTCAGCAATAATTTTTTTGTGTTTAATAGCAGTATTTGTACA